AGTTTATTTTAATAGATCACAAAATTGAGAATATGCCCAAACACACATTTCACAAACATTTTCATACGAATAGTTTGAGCACGCTTCAAAGCAAGCGCTATTTAGACAAAGGGAGCAAGTCCACAAGTCTCTCGGGGCTTGCCGTTTGTCTCCACAGACTCCAGTGCATTTGTTTATGCTGGGCAGAGCTCCAGCCAGAAGAGCTATTTGTTTCTGATTGAGCCCTGACTGTGTAGGGCCTTGAAAAAGAACAGAACAAGTTGCTTTCTTTGCCCCAAACACACAGTTCAAGATCTATGGAAGGACAGAATGGAAAGACAAGAAAGTCATTGAGCAGAAGGTAAGAGCTACATCTCCAACTTCACCCTCCTTCACCCCTTTGTTTGAGCTGCTGGAGCCGCACAACCACAAAGACAGACAGAGCTACTGGCCTTCAGTCCCCTCCAGCCCTGAACCAGCACAGACTCCACATAATGAGAGTGAACTAGTCCACCCCACTACTACTACCAACAGTACTACTACCAACAGAACAGTTTTCTGGGAGTTTTCAGTCCAGCTACAAGAAAGGAACAAATTGCTTTTGGCAAGCATCAGTTCCTGCCAAGAGCTGGAGTAACTACTTGTGGACACTTACTCCAAAGTCTGCCTCCAACTTCATTTTTAGAAGTGGTTTAAGTTGAACCACGAAGACAATCTTTGTGTAGAATAAACGTCCACATGAGGTTAACACACAAAGTAGTTTAACTTCAAGTTCACTCCTCAGCTTGTTTTGCAGACAAGTCTTTAACTACTTAAGCTCTTGAACAACCTAATAAGTTTCATTTGTGTTCAAGCTCTACTTTTCATAGAGGAGTCAATGGAAAGCCTCAGAGAGCCAAGGTAGACAAAAAAACCAACCCCCTATAAGGAAGGAATTAAATCCCTTACCCAGAGTTTTTCCTTCTTCTGAAGGGGATTTTCCACCACATCTTCCACATCCATTTTTCTCAGACTCTGAGAATCAAGCACGAGGTCATTACCTTGCACTGTTCAGTGATTTCCTATCTATCCAGCATAAGTTACTAATGTTAATCTGAAAAGCCTAGAAGCCCCAAACACCCAAACTTTCAAAAGCCACAATAAATTACTAATATGGTGCAGCAGCTTTTCCTATTGTGAAAATAGACCTTCAGCTCCATTTCTAGTGCAATGGGAAGGTTACTTTAAAACTAGGTGAGTGTGTGAAGACAGAAGGAATAGCAGCTAAGGGGTGATCCCAAGTGTACCTCTTTGGAGGTCTGGATGATGGTCACAAACTTCTGAAGTTCCATATATTCAGTAAACAGACTCCTACAGGTCATTTCATAATGGCTCATAGCCTCAGAAGGCCTGGACAAGTGCGCCTCACAGGCCTGAAAGAAGTGCAGCTATTTAAAAGAGATCTTGAAATGAAAAAACATTATAAGATGGAATAAGCAAGATTCCGTTTTCTTAATCCATGGTTAAAAAACATCTTCCTCACAGCCCCTTTGTATCTTTTATTTTTTTCTATGGTAGACGCAGAGGAACAAAGAAGCAAGATGTCCAATCTTATACGTACAATAATGTAAGTAGCTGTGTAATTTATATATCTTGTTCTCCATAAGGTGTGCTTTGAAATAAGTGCCTGGAAGGGGAAGCCTCCAGTGCAGACAAAGCACAAAAAACCACAGCAGGTGGAGTCACTTGCCCTGTTCTTTTCCCCTGCCCTGATCAGTCTGAGGGATGGGAAGATTCTCATACCTTTAAATTATGGTTGAGAGGAAAATATTTGTTTGAGTTGAGGCATTCAAACCCCAGCTTTTGCAGAAACTGAATACTATGGACAAGTGACTTTTTTCAATATCCATAGTCTTCTAGGTATCGAATTTGGAGACTATGTACAGAAGGACTTCGTAGATACAGCTGTGTGAGAGCCACGCTCAGTCTTCCTTCTTAATTCTTTTCTGTAGGCACTTGCACACACCTAAGATGGTTTTGCCTTTTCCCTCTGACGGGAAAGCCACGTGCTCCCTCTACGTCCTCCAACAAGCTACCCGGCTTTTTCCCAAAAATGGTCTTGCCCCTTGGTTAACAGCATTGTTCCATCAACTCCCCTGAAGGTGCTATATTTACAAAGTGGGAAGAAGGAAACCTTGATAACATCCCGCAGGGTGACTGCTGGTTTCATTGCCTCATCATCCAGTTTCAACATGAGGCACAGCAGCCTCTCCAAAGGATCACTCAGTTCTCGCTCCACTTGGCTGTCGATTCCCCAGTCCAGGGCTTCATAGATCACCACTCCCAAGTACTCCAACAGCTGCAGACAGAGACCAAGGAAGCAGTGCAGCACAAAGTGTTGTGGAGAACCTCACAGCTCTCGCTTCCCAGCCATGCGTGTACCCTCCACTGCCCCTCAGGGCTGAGCACATCTCTCAGGATGAGAAGGGCCCAAAAGGCAGCTAGATGCTCATCAGGTAGCCTGACATACTCCCTAAATAAGCTGTTTTAAGATTTTTACACAGCCTTACCTAGCACCTCAAAGTTATCTGTTATTAAGACAAAAAAACTGTGGGCTATTCCACAGTAGGCAGCATCTGTGCACATTGTTTCCCAGTCTCGTTGTCTTACTTGAGTTCAGTCCTAGCATTTTTTCCATTTTCCAGGTGGCAGGGGACAGAGCCACTCTCACAGGGCACAGCAAATTTAAGCACCTTGATAGTTTCCAAAGACATCTGCACCTCCTGAGCTGGCCTTCTACTACAGCAGGATTATATCTGCACACGTAACGAAGGTGAAGACACAGGCTTACCTTGTCCTCTGACTGCTGAATGCTGCCAACATCTGAAAGGGAAAAAAGAGGGGAGGGGGAGAAAGATGACTGCATAGGCATTCATAAACAGCTTTTAGAATCCCTGACAAGAGAGAAAAACAGGAAGAATTCTTGGTAATAATGAAACAAACCCCTCTGACTAAGGTCAGTCCCAGCTAGGAAAAGTAGGCCTATATTTGAGGACTCCTGGAAAGCAACACAGGATACTCTTCTTATCGTGAGCGTTAGCTCCAAACTAACTGCTGCTGGGTACTTTTTTTGTTTGCTAATCGATATCTAGCCACAAGGAAGGCACTGAATCTTTGTCTTCAGTCTTTATTACCTGCTTTTGTCCCTGAAGAGTTAGCCTAGCATTGACCTCTGCAGCAGTGCAACCAAGCGGTGCATAAGACAAGCTTGTTGCCGCTTGCTGGCTACACATAGTGACAAAAAAAGGAAACTATCAATCGTAGATCTGTCATGAGAGTTACTATAACAAAGGAACCATACATTGGAAGATGAACAGAGCAGGACATACAATAAAGCCTCAGACTATTTATTTCAAATAACATAAGTGGTAACAAACTTTCATCCCAGCTATTCCCTAGAACCAAATGACTCACTAGAGCACTATTAGAAAAATTAGTAGGCCGTACATCTGTATTACCACTCATCTACAGTCC